GGGGGGGGGGGGGGGGTAAAATGAAAAGTCAACCAAATAATAATAGCTCGTAGTCAATGTCTGTCGATGACCAATACAGCAGCAGAGGAGAATATTTCTCCAGTAAAATGTGAAAATTTTGAAGAATTAAAGGTAGTGGTGAGTTGTGGCTTCTCCTGTCGAGAAGAGAACAGTTTTGGCTAACAAAAGTTTACCACATTTTCGGACATTTAAAGGCTCCACTTCCACCTGTGAGTGTGTGCAGCTTGCGGATTCTCTCTTGGTTTTCAGTATTTCTTATTCGTAAAAACCTCATTATTTGCTGCCAGCTGTGACTGCTACTCCTCAACCGGGTCTGTCAGGAGAAAGGTTCTCCCATATTCGAAGAATTTATGTTCAAGTCCTTCAGAGACATTTTCAGAGTGCCATTGTGGTGCTCTTTTGGTGCATTACTGTAACGCATCCCTGAGGAAAGTTCAGAAACAAACGTACAGCCTTTGGGATTCTGAAATCAGTCATCCATATGACATTGTCGAGTGCGTGCCAATGTTTTCAACTCTGTTAGTGTTCTTGTTTATGTGTTTCCCAGGGGGGTATTTTGGATATTTTTTGATGGTTTTAAAATGTGACCTACATTTCTTGGGCGGTTAGAAAAAAGTTGCCCTCCTCAACCCATTCTTCTTTTAGATCAGGCACTTGTAGAAGACGCTCTTGTAATGTTGATTCATACAAGTTAAGTAATGGAATATTACACTTTCTTATCCCGAATATGTTGTGTGTAGAGATACTTGAAAGAAAATGAAAACGCAATTGTGAAGGTCAACAATGCATCTTTATCTTTACCCAGAAGTTTTTTAACGTGTTTGTGTGAGACTGCTAGGCGCTTGCCACACTCGCTTGAGTAATTGTCCCTACAGGTAAAAAAACCCAAACAAAACAAAACACAATTTAAAAAAACCCAACAAAACAATTGGCAGGTCTTTTGTTGAACTAAATTTTGACCCTGAAGTTTGGACGTCACCTCATGTAGGCCATACTTCTTTTCTCTCCCCCCTCTTATTTCTACTTGTCTTACATTTCTCCATTACTGGCTGGCAGTTATCGAGCCGACAATTTTTCTGTGTTCCAAAAACTTAACAAACAAATTTGGCACGATGATATTGTTATGTTCTGTGTGGAAGGGTTTCCCCGCACGTTTATATGACCTTATGTAGTTGCGAGCGTCTTAAAACATCTACAAGAAAAAGAGGGGTTTCTTCTCTTTGTTCCAGTACTAACAAGGGCATAGCTGTTCTAATCAAAGATGCATGTCATTGTTTTTCTTGCTGGAAAATCTATTTATCCAGATTACTATCCTCAACATCCTCATGTTGCTGATAAATTCATTTATCCATTTTACTATCATCAACTCATTATTGTTGACAGAACCCCTTCTTTCTTTTACAATCGTGTACTTATTGCTCTCATTGGAAGAAAAGCCAATATTGCCGATGCCTAAGGATAATATTAAAAATTATCATAATAATAATAATTATCATAATATGCTTCAACCTTTTATACAGCACCTAATTCATTAAAGGCTCTAAGCACTGTGCAATGCAGATTTATCTTTCTAAATATTCATTTCAAAATTAAAAGAAGATTTTTTACGTTTCCATCAACACAATTTAGATAATTTAGGCGGCCGGCTTCGGACTCTGCCTGTCAAGCCCATTCGGGCTGTGAGGAATACATCCCATCAGAAAGACCGAACTACTCGATATAGATTTCTTCCCAGGTTGGGAATCGAACTTGGGTTTTCTGCGTGCGACAGCGAAGCGCGTAACTGCTACACCACAGACGCCGGTAGTCTTATCTTTTAATACGTTGATACAAGAAGAAGAAGAAGAAGAAGAAGAAGAAGAAGAAGAAGAAGAAGAAGAAGAAACGGTAGATTCATACCGTGGGATGTGTTAGAAGATAAAATCCGTCTTGAAGAAGTAAGACAAGTGTATACGGAAACACTTTGCAAAAGGGGACAGGAACTTTTTCTTCTTCCAAGATCTTCGACGGTAGAAAAACATCATGAAACGTAAAAAAGTAAACAGCACAATACAGCAAACAAAAACACCACAAACAAAAAACTCCTAAAATAAACAAACAAAGAAACAAATAACAAACAAATAAAAACAACAACAAAAAACACCCCCAAAGCCATAATAAAACAAAACAAAAACAAAAACAAAACAAAAACAAGCAAATAAAAAAACCACAAAACAAAACAAAGCAACAAACGGACTTAAGATAAAAATAACGCCAAGCCAGAACAGCAAGGCTCTATCTCGGTTTCATTCACTTTCTTCGAGATTTGAATTCAAAGTTTTTAAAACACTTTATTTTCTTTTTTTTTAAACCCAAAATGATCATGGGTTTTGTCTAAAAAAAATTAATGAAGGGAGCTGGGTAACATTTACATATAATGTTGAGGGAGTACGGTTGGAGCCCCCCCCCCTCCCCCCTTTTCCTAAGGAATTCCGAGTTAGAACTTTTTTACTCTGATCTGGCGATAAGCAGAGCTTCCCAGCGATATTCAGATTCCAAGCAGATAATGATTCATATTAAACTTATTCTGTGGCTTGTATTTCCCTTGAATTTACGCCCTATCAGCTGTGGCAATAGCACTGTTGTCTCTTTCTCCATAGACACCTTCTCAAGTATACACGTTTGATATAAACACTCATGCCCAGCAGCAGAGCGGACGACTCTGGTTCGAATCCCCAACACAACATTCTTGAGCTCGAGCCACATTAATCAGGTTGATGTGGACCCTTTTTGAAGCAGATAGGAGGTAGAGTTCTGGCAGATAGATGGATAGCTACGAGCGGCTAGACAGATAGCTAGATAGTTAGATAGAGATAGCTAGATAGATAGATGGACAAATAGATAGACAGATAGATAGACAGACACTTGACAAAAGACGTCTGATCGGGAGTATAACGAAGTGTTTATTATACAACATGCGAACCACAATGATGACAGACAAAAGAAATCTTATCGTCCCTTACAAATGCTATTAATAGACACAAGTGACAATAAAAGGTACAGCTCGCCTCTCTCGGCCTCTCCATCTGTACAGAATGTATTCGCAGAGACCAAACTCTCAACGTGTCAGGCAACAGCCAAAAAACTGCAGGATACTCACTGGAACGGCCTTTACTCGGAGTATGTCATCATAAAACATTACAAATAATATTTGATCCGTTTTTACGGGGATAGATGCAGGTTAATTTTATATCAGGTTTCAAAGATATTGATACAGTAAGTGAAACAAGCAGGTGTAAACATTGTTAGTTTAGCAATCTCTATTGGTCATGTACATACTTCATGGAAGAATTGCGTGGCCAATAGGGATAGTATCTGCTATGTTATGAGTTCAAATTGAATGCATATTATATTTCATGAATTCGAAAAGTAGGGGGTAAGTAGCACAAAGAAGCTGGAGTAAAACAGAAAGACTTGTCAGCGAAAATATAAAGGAAGATTTTTTCACGTTTTGTATGGTCGAAACAAGCAATCTTACTTGTGTTTCGAAAAATAACGTCTTTCCAGAAGGACCTTCTTTGTGGGGGAACAGTAAAGATAAACTGAATTTTTATTTGCAATGAAGTCAGTAATTTCAAAATAGTAGTTAGGATGTTAAGAAGATCTAAAACCGGCGGAAGACGCCGTGATTTAGACTGCCGAGGTGAGATCTGCCGCGACTGCCGAAGGTGAGACCAGGTTTCTTGAAGGCGCTGGTAGCCGCTCTCCTGCCACCCTGACCAGGCAGGATGTTGGTGCTGATTCTGGAAAACGCGCCAGGTCGGTTGAACAATCCGGAGCCGATCCGCTGGAAGCCCACGTTGTACAGCAGGCCTTGGTCTCTGCTCCTAGAGCGGGAAGGTTGTCCGATCTTGGTGCTGTAGTCCACCTCCTTCTTGTTGTACTTGGGCGGCTGGTAGGCTTTGACGGGCTGCACGGCGGGGAGGTTGGGGATCTGGATACGTCTCTTGGGTGGCTCGATCTTGATGGGCTGTGTGATCGGCCCGATGTCCACGTTGATGTCTGGGATTCTCTTGGCCGTTTTCTGTTTGGTGATACCGCCCGGAGCGAACACGTCCTGCCCGACAATCTCACGAGAGTTGATGTTCCCGAACGGTCCACTTCCGCCGGTCGTGTGAGTGGCCACTTCCGCCTGTGTGTTCCGTGCGTGTTGACCGGCGTCTTTGTCGTTGATGAGCCTGGCCTGGGCGCCGTCCCACAATGCCTGTTTCCTCTGGAACTCCTCTGAACGGCTGTCGTCGGCTGTCTGGTGGTTGTTACGACGTTCGTAAGCGTTGCCGTTTGATCCAGCCCGGGCTGCCTCTTGCTCCACTCGGTTTCCGAAACCGTTGGCCTCCTTAACCTTGTCCTCCTGCTCGTTTTGCAGCTGTGCGCGTCTGCTGACGGAATCCTCAAAGTTCCTCTCGTTGGCAGCGACCTTGGCGTCGTGGTTGGACTTGGCGAACTGGTTCTTTTTGGCCAGATCGGCTTCCTCGGCGGCTCCGAACTCGCGCGCTTTCTTGTTGCGGTTGTATTTGAGCTCCTCGTCGTTGGCCCCGCCCTCTTTCTTGTTGTGGAAGAACTGTTTCCTTCTGGTGAAGGTCTCGTTCTCGTCATTGCGCTTCTTCAAGAAGTAGTCCCGGTCTCTGAGAGCCTCGTTCACAGCCTTCTGCTTGGCCGCGAACTCCGAGGCGGAAGCAGCGCCGGCGAAACTCTTGTCGCTCTCCGCAGCGTGTTTGGCGGCCTCCGCAGCGTTCCTGCTGAAGCCTTGGTTGGCGGTGTCGGAGAGACCCTGTCTGAAGGCGCCCGATGCGCGGTCCTTCAAGCCCTTGACCTCGTCGTAGACCACGCGATCCTTGAGTCTCTGGTACTCGTTCCTGGCGTCAGCGGCGCTCAGCGCGGTAGCCCTAGCCAGCTCCTCACCTCTCTCCCGCTGGTCAGCGTTCTCAGCAAAACCAGACTTGATGCGACCACCGCTGCCCTCATTCCTGCTCTTAGGCCCACCGCTTCCGACACCATAAGCACCATCAGGACCCACCCGCACGCCACCTGGACCGGTCTGCTCACCGCCGTAGAACTTAGCGTCCTTGACATTTCTAGCAGAGTCAGCATTGGCTCCAGCCTCGTTCCTGTACCCAGCAGCCTGCTCGGCCAGATCTTTAGCCAGTCGGATGGCAGAATCAATACCTTCTTCGTTCTCCCTGAACTGGTTGTCTTTCCTGTTGTAGTCGATAGCTCTGTCGTCTGACCTTTCACCCGCGGCCTCCAGTCTCCGGTCACCGAACCCGTACTGACCAGCCTTCGCCTTGGCTTGGTTAGCGTTGGCCCTCCAGTCAGCCTCCTTGATGGCCTGCTGCTGGTCGTTCTGTCTTCTGGAGACGGCGTTGTCTTTCCTCCTCAAAGCTTCGTCCTTCTCTCTCTCATCGATGAGGTCCAGCTTGCTGAATCGGCGTCCGTTCTCGTCCTCGAAGCCTCCGTTCTCGCTGCTCTGCTTGTTGAAGCGTTTGTTGAAGCGGTAGTTGATGTTGTCCTCCAGGTTGTTCCCCCTGTCGAAGGCGTTCTTCCTGGCATTGGCGGCGTTGAAACCGTTTGCCTGCTCCTGGTCGTTCCGGCTGTACTTTGCCGCATCGTTTATCTGAAATAAAATAAAACAAAACACTTCCATTGCCAATGGTGGCATACAACTATTGTGGACTAACTATTTAATTCTAAATATTTTTGAGGTCATGTGTTACACTTCTGCACACCATTGTTTTAATTGGTATCATGCTAGGCTGTGGTTCGAAATGGAACCGGGTCGTTCTTATCATATTTTTGTGTATCTTATTTTCAATTTCTTATTACTTGTTACGTTTTCTTTTTTTTCAGGGATGGGGTGGCAGAGAGAGAGAGAGAGAGAGAGAGAGAGAGAGAGAGAGAGAGAGAGAGAGAAAGAGAGAGAGAGAGAAAGAGAGAGGGGAGAGAGGAGGAGAGAAAGGGGAAAGAGGGCGGGGAGGGAGAGTCAAGGTCATAAACTATTGTTGACTGACCTCGAACAAAATATTATATTGCTTGACGTCAGGGTTGTGTAAGATATGTTTTTGTTTTGTATCTTCATTTGCTTATCTGTTTAGTGGTTGTTTTCGTTTTTTTGAGTACATACAAGCACACATCAACAATAGCATCTTAAGGGAAAAAACATCGGCAATCAGAAACAGCAAACGGGGAAAAACGAAGTAGGACATAATATTATGTACTTGTGACACTCGCCGGTCAACGACCTCCATGCGTTCCTGGTTCTGATTTTTATTTGTTGAGTCATCATTTTCAATTATTTTGTGTTTAATAAGAAGGACGGAGACAGAGAGAACGAAAGAGAGAGCGACAGAGAAAGAAAGAAAGAGAGAGAGAGAGAGAGAGAGAGAGAGAGAGAGAGAGAGAGAGAGAGAGGCGGGGAGAGAGAGGGTGAGGGAGAAAGAGGAATGGAGAGACAGACAGAGGGAGGTAGAGACATAGACAGACATAGACACAAAGAGTTAGAGATAGAGATGGACAGATATATATATATATATATATATATATATATATATATATATATATATATATATATATATATATATATATATATATATAGAGAGAGAGAGAGAGAGAGAGAGAGAGAGAGAGAGATTTGAGAGATAGAGAGCTGAGAGAGAGTAATAGAGAAAGAACGAGACAGACAGACAGACAGACAAACAAACAGACGGACAAACAGACAAAACAAAGAAAAGCCTCGTAACCCCATGACCCGCTGACCTTGTAGGCGTTCCTGAGACCCTCGTCACGAATCTGCTGCACGATGTTGCCAAAGTTTTTGTTGTTGTTGGCGTAGTTCTGGCGGCGCGCGGCTGCCTGGTCGCGGAACTGTTGATCATTGCGTCTGTGCACACACACAGATCACAGAGAAAGGAGGGGAAAAATAAGAAGAAAATTTAACAATACATGAACGTACTTAAAAATATTTTTATTTATTTTATGATTTTTTTCATGGTGTTTCTTTTTTTTTGTGGTTTTGTTTTGCTGATGAGTGCTGGGTTTTCTCCGACGCCTAAAAACAACAAAAGCAGACCACGGAGCGAAACAAATAAAATTATAAAAATCACAAACAAACTAAATCTCAATGTCAGCATACACAATGCACATTGTTGTAATAGGTGATTATTATTATTTTTAAATTAATTTTTTTTAAATGTATTAATTATCTATTTATTTATTTATTTATTTATTTATTTATTTATTTATTTTTATTTTTTATTTTCATTTTTTAAAATATTTATTTAGTTATCTATTTATTTTTATATATATGGTTTTTTGGAGGGGGGGGGGAAGGTCTAATTCTATACTCAAATGTCCCGAACTAGCTGATCATGCTTTACTGAAGAAAAAAAGTATTTTGATGCCAGCGTAACGGTTATATCCAGTGCACATTTCCCGTCGGATTCATTGGATTTAGTCGGAGCCAGCCAATTTTTATTGAATGGCAGGACTGGAGCAAAAGCTACAACTATTGGGAACAGTACGGCCGAATTCAACAAAATTCGATTGAGATTTTAACTATCAAACTCGTTTGATTTTCAAGGTCACAGGTTGATTCAGTCGTATTGTTCCAAAATGGTTGCTTCAAGTTCAATTCCCTTTTGGGAAAGATTTTTCTTTGTTTTTTGTTTGCTTCTTTGTTAGTTTGTGTTTGTTAATTATGTATCACAGTCCGTGACCTGGGATACTGTATTCAACTCAGCCGAGGGTGGTGGTTCTGCAAAGCGTGGTTTAGCATTCTATCTCGAAAACTGTCTAAATTGTGTCGATTGGGCGTATCAACTTGCAATTAAAATACAACTGAATTCAAAAAAGAAAAAGAAAACTTGTGGCGTGTGGGAGTTCGTAGGTGAATCTGCTTTGGGCAAGAGGCAGTAAATTCTGCAGCTTAATAGGAAATATTGCAGTTAGACTGATAAGTGGATTGATTAGTGTCGTGTAACCTGAAGGCGTCATCCTTTGACCCTGCCCGCCCGGTCCAGATGGCGTTGCGGGCCAGGTTTCCCTGATGCTGCTGTTGGTCGCGGTTCAGTAGTTCAGAGCCTTTCCGTCCCTGAAATTACAAATTTAAAAAAATAGGTGGGGGGGGGGGAGAAAAGGGAGGAGAGGGGTGGGGGCCGGGCAAAGGGTGAAATAAGGCTTAGGAGCGGGTGCTAGACCAACCAACTGAATCAGCAAATTCCACTTTTGATTTACTATCACACCCACAGGGCGGGGGTAGTGCGTCCGACGCCCCACACGTCCCCCCCCCACTATTAGCTCCCTCCGGCCGCCCATCTTTGGTTGTAGGTATATAGTGGGCAGGATAACTTATACCCATCCCGCCGCCCGTCCTCGTCGTCATTAGTGAAGAAAAAAAATTTGCATATGTGGGGCTTTGGTCAAATGGGGTGAGAATTAGATAGGAGGGGTATTTTGCGGCATGTTCTCGTTCTCA